GGCAACGGTCTTTGATGTCCTTTGGCAGGGCCTCGGAGTGCTTGGTGCTGCGTTGATCTTCCAAGTCTCTCATGTCCTCCAGGTTTGTGAGGCACGTGGTCGGTTTCCGTCGTGAGTGCCCAAAGCACCCTTGATCAAAGGATACCAAACCCATTCCTTGGTAGCGGAGCAGCTGCATTAACTCCGGCCATGCCCAAAAGCTTGGACTTTCTTCTTCGCGAGCTTGTGGAACATACGTCAACGGATCCTGTGGGCTCTCCAAGAGGAAAGCGGTTCTCACACGATGACGCTCGCGGCATTCTTCAGACCTTATGAACAGGCCAATTTGTTTCAGCAGCAGTGCTGCATCTGAATCAGCCAAGTTCTTCTCCCGGTCTGTCAATCCTGGTAGACCATACCGGTCATGGAAACGTCCACGCAATGGTCTTGGTCCCGGTTGTTTCTGCCTCAATCGGCTGACCGTCCGACAGGGAGGTCCCCCGATGATAGCAAGAAGTTTTCCCAGGCTTGCAAGTTTCCAAAGGAAACTCCATGTTCCCGGATTGTGTAGATCTTGATTTCGACCTTCATTGATATCCAAAGTGATGACTTCAATCCCATTGATGGGATTCTTTCGCCATTCCTTCGCCCTTTCTCCAGCAAAAAGGTGGACTATAACCCCTTTTGAGGTGAGCAGCCTCCTTCTTTTGTGCCGGTTCCATGGTAAATCATGGTTCATTTGCGGATCTTCTTCATCTTGACCCCGCATGTAATTCCAAATTCTGTCCGGTGTTTCCGGAAATCGTGATCCCCACCACTTCTTGGTCTTCTCCGTGGGCTCTTCCAAGGTGAGCCGATGGTTGGTCCTCTTTTCCATTTCCATGTGCTCAATCTCAGTGATCAGAGCCAGAGCGTGGTCCTTTCGAACCACTGGACACCCAGACCTTAACCAACATTCTATGTTTCCCAGTCGTGGATGCTTCACAACACATCCTGCACGGGACCAAGTGATGGTGTATCCCAATTCCACCAAACCTCGAAGAGGTACAATTGGTTCCACCGGTCCCTCCGACAAGAGGGTTCCATTCACAGGATTTTGATAGAGCTGAGCAGCTCCATGTGCGAGTTCCACAGTGACCTGCACCGCGTTCTTGATCTCCTCGGTTGATCCCTGTCTCAAGGGGTGTGTCGCCCCACCATCCAATAAACCCGTTCCATTATCAAACTCGACTTCGAGATGATCCCCACCATGCCCCACCGACTTCAAGACCGGTCCATTGAGACCCTTCAAAAGGCTGGTGACTTCTCCTACAACCTTTTCGGACTTCTCTGGTACAGGGGTAATAGTGACCGTGGATTCATCCCTCGGGTTGATCTTCACGACAGGTTCAGGACGTTCTTGAGCAGCACCTCCCTCTTTTCCGGGACCATTTTTCCTCTCTTGAGATCTTGAGCGTATTCTTGTGGTTTTGGCCACCTTAGGTTCTTCAGATCCACTTTGTGGACCTCTTGACTCACTTCGTTTTCCCGCCGGACAATCACGTCGGGAGTGTCCTTTTCCAGAACAGTTGAAGCATCGGCCATCTTTGGAGTCCAGGACAGTGTGCGTGAACCGGCACCGGTCAGCATATTGGCATCCCTTATCTGTCAGCCAGTTGATGCACGCAGTCTTGTGGACCACATTAGCCGCGTTAATCGGCAGCTCGGGTTTCTCCCCCCTCCTTCCGGTGGAAGAACCTGCTGCGTCTTCTGGTTTTCCCTTTGAAGCGCCCTTTGGTGGATTTCCAGATGAATCCGGTCCACTCATTGACTTCACCCCTACCACATTGTTGGGCTTAGCCGCTGGGCTCTGTGTTGTGTTCCCCGGTTGACGGAGAGCCATTTCACCAGCTTCTGCTTGGAGAAGTTCAGAAAACGTTCTGATCTCTTGCATTCCCGGCCGGAGATCTATGCCCAAATGCTGTCTCACCGAAGACAACCGGTAGGCAGCCTGAGCTCCCCCCAACCTGGCTAGTGCATCACTCATTTTTGCGACCACTCCGGCCAAAACCAGAGGATCGGGTAAAACCAATTGAAGTTCTTCTGCACGAACCACCCATCTTCTCCACTTCCGGATGGAGTTGACCATCTCTGCAGCATTATTGGATGGACCCTTCCAGTCCACCAACATTTGTAGTAGAGAAGTTCTTTCCACTTGTCCTCCAGGTTGGAAGACGGTGTACAGCTTGAACATGACTTGACCCGCTGACATGTGTCTGTTCGCCACCAGGTCCTCGTAGATGTCCTTGGGGACGGCTTGAAGCAGCATACCCACCACCCGTTTCTCTGTGCGAGGCCACCTACGGGCCATGTCAGGTATCACAGGCGCCATCCGGAGCCTCATGAGTGGATCCGCTTGCAACCAGTGGTGGTATGCTTGTTCAACAGCAGTCATCACTACATCCCACCATTGCTCTGAGGTGTAGCTCACATCCCCAATCATCTGTTGGGCAACTGTCAGCCAGTCTCCAAAGTCCAAAGATGTTGCATTCCTATCCAACTTTGGCAATTCGACCGACCTTAGCGTTTCGCCTGGTACTTCTCCCCCTGCCTGAGGTCCTGCTTGGACTACAGCTTGTTGTTGTTGTGGCGATACAGCTTGTCCTGGATTTCCTTGATGACCACCTGGCTGACCTGGATTTCCCTGATGACCACCTGGCGGACCAGGTGCTTGTCCCGGATTTCCATACTGCCCCGGCGGTGGACCCCTTGGCCAACCATAACCACCCATAGGTCCGGTATTTCCACCCGGAAATGCAAAACCTCCTTGAGGTCGATGATCTTGTCCAGCAGGTGCTCCTCCAACTTGGGCTTGAGGATTATACCATTGACTGGGTTGATCACCGATGAAAAAGTGTCTTGTGTTTTCCGTGGCTCCCATGCATGGAGCTCCCATCGGTGGTCTTGACGCCGCTCCCTGCGGCATACCTCCCGGTGGCATTCCACTTAGCCACCCTTGGTTCAGGTACACATCCATCGGCCGAAAACCTTGTTCGACCCTGGGCGCAGGAGGAACCTTCATTTGAAGATCTTGATCAGGTTGATGTTGAACTCCCGGAACTGGTTGATCTGGCAAATGTTGTCCTTGGGGTGGAACACCTTGAGATGGCCCCACAGGAAAACACTGCCCGATGTTCTGCTCCGGAGAGGCGGTTTGATAAGACCCCCCACTTGACTGAGAGCCCTTGTGACCACCTCCGGCTTCTCGGACCCTTTCCAGGGCCCGTTTCTCTTCCCGCGTGGCTAACCAATTTTCTCGATCCTGTTGGATCTCGGTCTTGCCCCGTTGAAAGAATTCTACCATCTGTTGTTTTAACTCTTCATACTTTTCCTTCTCCCTCGCGTCCGCCTGATCAATCAGGTCTTGCGACACTGTGGGATAAGTCAGCTCTTTCACTGGAGTCTGTGGACTGCTCATAAGAGCTTCCACTCGCTTGGCAGCACTCCATGGATTCGTTTCCTCTGCAGCCATGACCCCGGTTATCATCCCCGGATGCACAACCGCCGTTCCCCACTGAGGCACCATTCCCGTAGGTGGCACTCCAGCACACATGGATTGCTGGGACATCCCAGCTGCCTGCAAACCCTGTGTTCCACCAGTTGCAGTATACACCACAGGTGCTCCCGCCGGCTGGTAGATCATAGGTGAGCCTGTTGGTGCCGCTGGCACCGATTGTTTAACGCGTGCATCTTCAGGAGACTCAACAGGTGAACGTCCCGGTCGCTCCAAAAGAGCAACGGTTTCCACAACAGCAGCCGCACCTCCACCCACTTCAGTTGAGCTTTGGTGTTTTCCACCCTGTCCTTCTTCTCGATTACCCACAACAGGTGGTTCACGAAATCCCTCAGACATCCGGGCAACTACTGGTGTTTGTGTCATAGGCACTCCCGAAAGAGTTAGACTATTCACACCTGGGGTCAAACCAGACAACAGACCGCCACTCCCATTTCCTCGTACCACTTCAAGTCCAGGAGGTTCTTCAGGTGGTAAGGACACTGGTCTTGCGACTTCTTCCGCAACAGCCGGATTCTGGGCAATTCGTTCGCCCGCTCCAGCCCGGACCGCCGCAACCTGCACTAGGGCTCCACTTCCCCCAGCACCGGTCAGTGCCATCACACTTTCTCCAACTTCCCCTTCCATCAGTGATCTTCGGGTTGAGTCTGATGATCTTGTCCCTGTTCTTTCCCCATGTGCTTGTCCAGGTGCGTCCATCTCCTCCAGAAGCCGGTCCAGCATTTGGTCTGCCGTTTCCGCGCGTTCTTCTTTTCCATGTCCATGGGTCCCATGTTGTACTTCTTCAGCATGAGCAGCCGCTTGAACTTGGCGTTCTTGTCGACGACGCTGAGTGAAGTCGCTGCTCGACATTGCTTCAAGGCAGCGTTGGGGTTGGGCTCATAACCCACGGGTTTCAGACTATGACCGATACCCTTCCCGGAGGTCCCCACCAAGAGGCAGATGCAAGTGCACCTTTTCACTCCAGATTGGGCTCGGTGCTTGAACCAGTCAGTTGATTGGCCCTTGAGCCAAGTTGCAACAGTCGGAGGACGTCTCAACGACTGTGAAAACTTTAAAAAGACCTTAGTGGGGGTGCAGTGGTACCCTGTGCATGTTTCCCAAACCGCAATTATAATTTACCCAGATTATTGGATAAATGAGGATTTAACCCAAACATAGTGTGGCACAATGTGGCATAATCTAATGGATTATCATGACATATAATGGGGATATAGCGGGGATAAGAATTGGTCTGAGGGAACATGCAACATCATGTTCTTCGTGAATGATTCCCCGTCCATTACTCGAGCGCATTTTGAATGGTGGTTTGTCTAACAGTTGGCATACAATGTGATGTGATTCAACTAACCTCTACCTCAACTTGCAGCTTTTCATTGTCTAGCCTTGGGGGCATTTTGGTGCCCATTCTGCTTGCGGAGCCTCCATGTGATCTCGTTCAGATCCAGCTGAGCAGTACTTGGCTGAGGTCTGTGACGCTTTGATTATTGGCACTTGATGCGCAACTGCATCTGCCACGGATTGGGGTGTGAGGGTGCCCTGTTCCCAAGCTGAACGCCACAGATGTGGCAGAGATAACGCCATCTCCGGAGCGTCTAAAGACGCGAGATGCTGTGAATGGTTTGGATATGTTTGGATTAAGATGAAGATGATGAAGTGCTCAAACCGAGCATCCTGATGTCTCAGAGTGTTTTTCCCAAGAGCAACTCAGCAATGTTCGGAGATTGTGCACGGTGTAGCTGCAGGTGACAGTGAAAAACACAGCTGGCACTTGCCCGCTCTCAAGCTTCATAGACGAGAAGTTTGCAGGTGATTTTGGTGCTGATGGGCGCCAAATTCATCTGGAGCCTGCGCTAAAGAGTCTCAGTGTGTGTTTGCGGTGGTGTGATCCTGAAGCCTCTCCCAACAAGATTGGTTGTCACATCAAGTTGCGCCAAATTTAAAACCATATATTCTCCGGCCACTCGATCAACAAAGGGAACAATGTAGTTTCAAACCGCACATGGACACTGCCAGATCCAACCCCTTGGGCCTTGGGCTGGTGCGTTTCACCATAAACGCCTGACGTCACACAGACTGCAGCAGAATCGGCAAAGATGATGAAGCGGTCGTTTGGATGGTTGTTGTGTCATGATATTTCACCGCGTTTTCTTTGCAAACGGACTGAATCCATGGACCAGTCATTTGTTTCTCTTTGCTTTGAGTGTTACTTCAGTTGTTCCTATTTTTTTCCACGTAACTCATGAAGTTCACTTTGTGGGGGGGGGCAGGGCGGTCAAAAAAAAACACCACTGTTTTGCATTCCGCTGCCATCCTTCTCACAAACCTTTTGAACAGCTGCGTAACAAGCAGGAGGAGGCTCGGATGAATGGATGAATAGTTTTGTTTGATTCACTCAGTTACCAATTTGCAGAATTTGACGCCAATTTTCTGGAACAGGAGGCTTTAACGTTGAAGCTGTAGATCACTTGCATTGCTGCTTGCCTGCATATCGCCGGTCATATGGGACTGAGGTTTCCATGGATCAAACTAGAACTTTGTGATAATATGTTATACTTGTCCAACTATAGTTTTCATTGTTCACAAATGGTATCCGTAGACATCAGGCACTGTTTTGATCATCCCCTTATTTGCATTGCAAACAAGGAAAAAAACTGTAAACAGCGAATGAGAATTAAGGAACAGACGAACAAGGATAACTATACTAATTACTAGTTCCCAATTGGTCATGTCAAAATTCAAGATATGTCAGCCCTGCACAAAGGTCTGGGTCGGGACGAGTCGTGCCTTACCTTCGCTACCCGTAACCAAAAGATGAACATGCAGTAGGGGCAGACAGCGTCTTGAAATTACCCAATTTGGACTTAGACTTACATGTTGAATCATTTCTCTGAGGATGTTTGAATCGTTTTTGGACCGCTACCCTACATTATTATTCTTGGAGGTTCAAGCGCCACTAGCCCTTCCACAGGAACTGCTTGCGGCCCGGAACGGGCCAATGTCCCATGGCAGTTGCGGCCTGAGATCTGAAATGTTTTATAGATTGTTTTATATAGTATTTGTCCATTGTTACAGTAAATCTTTGGGACATGGTTGGTCCATTGGTAAATGATTGCTTAGCAGTTGCAGAGATTCCAATGTGTTTCTATCCTGTCTTACTTGAAATGATCGTTTTGCCACGTTCGTTGCTCAAGACTCGCCGTATGCTTTGGCCTCAGGTGTAGCAAGAGAGTGTTTCCACATCATAATACACAATATCATCCAACCATATAATATATAAATACATATATAGTATTATATAGTTATGTCGGATATACAATAGTATATAATATGTAAGTATGAGATAGTATGAGGACTGTTGCAAGTTAGGGTGTAGTCTATTCCAATTTATTTCAAACGTATTGCTCAATCCCGAACGAACCTTGCCATGCCACATGCATGGCTCGCGTGGTGCGCATGGTGTGTAAGGAAGGGCGGGCAGGGCTCGGCCCAGCGGGTCTGTGAGAACGAGATGTCCATGGAATCCTGGAGCAATTTAAATCTACTAAAGCCATCTAAAGCCCCAAGATGCAGAAACAAGTCAAATGCAATTCCACAATTTAGTCGTATACTTATACAACAGTAATACAACAAACATGTTCCTATCGAAAGAAGGAAATGAGTGGATTGTGAATTCTTGTGGATTCGTGGTTTCCTTGAATGGTTTTTGTCGTGATTTTAAGGGTGACGTACCATGTTGAGGCTAAACTGCTAAACCATCTGAAATCATCGAAATATATGGCTCAACCATCTATTGCAAGCCAGTTGCTCCAGGCAGAAGCAGAGCAGTTGCTTGCTTCGATCCGGAGGTTCGCCGCCGCCAAATGTGCGATCCTTTTTTCAAGAATAGTCTGGGATGTATCAGGATGAATAGGGAAATAGGGAATAAGTGATTCATCCCAATATAAATTCTCAATATGGGATACTGTATGTAATATAATATTGAGGCATCCCGACATAAATTCCAGTTTTTTCAAGTGATGATAGGGCCTTTTGAGGAGTCAAACAACAAGATTTGGGTTGTGTCAAGTGGTGATGTAACCATCAAAGTGGTGGCTGGAGGCTCCACAACTGGAAGATACCATGAAGAACGGGAGTATCACAAACACGCAAATGATAAGTTGATGATATATGAATGTATATATTTACTCAATATGAATCAATCTTGGATGAGGAGTATACGTATGGACGTATGAGTCATCCAGGCAAATGTTGGAGAATTCGAGTCATTTCGAGTCCTTCCTTTCAAACAAGTTGATGGTTCATTTAAATTCATTTGCCTTAGAGATCTTAGAGGTGATCCCCGTTGCTTTGTATCTGAAGTGGCCTCATGGCCCTCACTAACAGGTTGCAGCTATGCTCAGCACGGGTCAGAAACTCTTTGACAGAAGCTTGGAGAGGTTAAGGGGGGTGCCATGTGTATGTTACTGTAGTTGGTCAGACAGCCTTTCGGATCCGTTCGGCATGGAGTCTTTACTTTTTCTGGTCTGAGTAGAATCTAGCCAAGCATAACAGCCAGTGGATGAGAGAGAAAGTGGAATCGTGGAACCCTCGAATTTTCGTGGATTTTTGTGGAGATCGTGATCTTCTTCAAACACCTTTCGATCCCTTCGGAAGCTCGGCTCACATCGCATTGAAGGAACTGGAAGCGTTGTCAAGACACGAGGCGTCTCAGGCCGGCGCACGGCGTAAAATACCTATAAAATATGAGTAAATAGATGTAAATAGTATATACATGTATATACAAATTTGAAGGAAGGTCCTACTCCTGCCTTTGATAGGAGCCAACATCCATGAATGATTTGGATAGGGGTTGGAAGCCGCTTCGTCTCATTTGAGGAGCAACTGAGGTAAGATTCATGGTTGTTGAATCACATCAGGGAATGGACTGACCACAATTATCCAAACAAGACCAGTTTTTTTATTAGAAAAAAAAACAACATAATATCCTCAGGACTTGCAGCGGATTCGAACATCATGTTCTTCATGATATGATAAAGATATAAAGCGTGATAAACTCAATAAGGGGTGGTTGAAGGTTTACGAGAACAAAGTCGTAAAAAGCAGGTATGGATCCTTACTGGGTTTACTATACTGGTGCCAGATTCAAGATGATTCAGAGACTCAAGATTCAAATATGTTGTTTTGCAACTATCCACCTGGACCCCCAAAGGGATAAAGCTTGTCATGGCCAGGACCAGGTTGACATCGAGTTTACCAGCCTGTCATCTTTGGAAGGTCGCTGGCCACAGGGGGTCCATCTGTTTTTGGGATCGGGTCAAGGTACACATGGAGCATCAAGGACCCCCCAAAATGAGTCATTTCATACCATTTGGATCATTTAAAGCATTACAGCAACCCCAAGAAAGATAAGAAACGTATTAGAAAAGTCGTGACATGTTGCTTTCACATGTGTTTTGTGTTTTTTCGCCAGGTGACCCGTTTGATCCAAAGCCGATCAACGGTCCGATGGCCAGGACCCTTGCCGTTTATTGGACGGAATGGGGTAGCCATGGGTAGCCTATTTTCACACACAGATCCAATATGTTGAGATGGGTTAATATTGTTTAACATTCAGGGGGATGACTTTACATATCTTTGTTTGTTTGGGATCGATGACATCTCCTTTCAGAAGGATGGGCGACGCAGGTATGTATCATGATTGGCATGTTGAAATGTCAACAGCCTCCGAGTTTTGGAGGGTCCGGAGTCCGGATTCAATGCAACGTGGCGATCCTTGTTGGTTTGTGTTCACCCGATCAAAACTTACGTATATGATGTACATCATGATTTTATTTAATGACTGGTTGGTGGTTTCAAACATGTTTTATTTTCCATAATATATGGGATAATCCTTCCCATTGACTAATACTTTTCAAGATGGTAAACCACCAACCAGATGGTGTATAAAACATTATAAAACTATGTAAACTTTGACTATGATGAACTACGTCCTAACCCAACCAAGGGCAGTACCTTCTGTGGACACCCAAGTCATTGAAGTCATTGCTTCAGCCCCATTGACAGGCCCAGCAGATCCAGTCTCTCGGCATAAATTTTCTCCCGAGGACTCCGTGATTTTTGGTTATCAAAGCCTTGATATGACCATAATTCCATAATTGATATATGAAAATCATTGGGAATATTGGGAATAACATGGAGATATAACATGATATATTCCGTTAATATAACATAAATCAACCATATACTTGTTTTGTTTTTTGCGATTTAACATGATTTAACCATATATAACCAACGTCATCATGGGAATATCATGGAGAGAGATCAATGTCCTGGAATTTGCGATGTGAGTTGGCTTCTTTTTGTCCATGGGACATCCACTACTTGGGGAATCTATAGGGAATGGTTCCTTAAGCAAACCCAAGTTTGCCCCATCAGTCCCCCAAAGGTTGAGATGATTCCCCGTTGACGACTATGGCATTTGCCCAAAACTGGGTGTTTTTGTCGAAAAGATGTATAATTCTACTGTACTCTCAAAGTTCAAGAAAGATACCACAAACATGCGCCTGCCAAAATCAGCCGTTCGAATCTTGGAACTTTGATGGCTTTGAAACCAGGATACCCCAACAGAACATCTCCTGGTTTATAAACCAGCAAGTAAACTGGTGGTAAAAGAGCTTCTTCCATCCCAACTTGCTCATATTCCACTGGTTTATCATCAATTTGTCATTAAAACGGCAACAAACTGTTGGTAAATCCTGAGGCGAAGAGATTGCCGGGTTGAAAGATGAGCCTGAGGCCGGAGGATGTAAAACCATGGTTTTCATGCGTGTTTGTTTTTCTATGTCTACCACTAACATGTGGATTTTCGTACTCTATTTGATTTAATCATACACATACAGCACTGAGTTCTGCTGATTCTGACTTTGCGCATTTGGGTTCGCACAGGTAAACCAAGAAGAACTGGATGTGAGGCCAGGCCTAAGTCAGCGCAACATCGGCAGGATGGTCAAAAACTGATGAAAATTCACCACTTGCCATACCTTGAAGTCAAGATAAGTCAAGGAACCCCAAACTTATTGAACCTTCATGCCACCTGAAAATCCACGAAACAGGGTTGACAATCATCCAGAAGAAGTGGGCGATAGTTTCCTCTCACCAGGTTGATGTACTCTGTGGGCATATGGTTTGTTTTTGTTCATAAGATGTCTCCCTGGTTTCTTTTTCTCTCGGGTTCATCCTGTGCGACTCCTACGGTCAGATGCGTCCTTCGGCGCTCAGCTATGTGTGGGAAACAGCAAAAACAATCCTGGATCCTTTTAATCTGAACGATGGGGTTCTGTCTCAACCAATTAGATGATTAAGTCAAATTAATGTGCAAAACCGAACAATAAACATCAATAAACACTATCCCACTTAAGCCAACCTTAAGCCAACCAAACAGCATTTGAGCGGAGTATAAACCATACCCAAAGCATGATTGTTTTGGTTGTACCGCATTCGAGAGCTCGTCAACCCTTCCATGTTTCGTAGAATTGGATAAAGGTAACACAGGGGCATAAACATATTTTTTCGTAAAATCATGTAAAATCCCTACATCTAGGGAAACCACGTCAAGAAAATACGTGATCAATATTTTATTTTGTTTCCTGTAGGTATTCCCTTTACCCAACTCAGAATTGCAAAGCCAGGAGAAGTGTGCGGCAAGTCCGGCGAGGCAGCGTTGCCGGGTGGCCAGTGAAGTGTTTCCAGAGGTGGCAGCATCAAAAACAGGAGGCCTTTGGGACGCCTCCACTAGACGAGCGTTCCGCTGGAAAGTAAAGATTTGACCAGTAAGAATAACGATTTTACATTGTATTTTACCATATTTTACATTGTATTTTACCTCATATTTCATGACTTTTGGGTGGTGAAAGGTTGTTTCAAAAAGAGTCATTCACTCAATTTAGGTGAAGATCTCGGAGCAAAAAATAACCATGCCGAAAGCAGTGTGGCTCGATGAGTGACAAAGTTTTTTAGAGGTCTTTGACATTCTTTGACTACATCAAAGGTTCCATGAGTTTTCCATAGTTTTCCCCTAGTTTAGGGACTTTCCCCAAACAATCCACCAACTATCAAGACTCATGGCCCCATGGCAGGACACTTGGCACGCCTTGAAAGTATCGAGGAACTGTCGGACGAGAGCAGATCTGCCAAATCTGACGGCCCAGGCAGTGGAACTGTGCAACTCACTGGGTACCCTGTGGGCCCAGGTTTTTCACCTGATGGACTGATGGACTGATTGACCATTGATGGACCATTGATGGACCGAAAATTGGACCTTTGTCGATTGCTGGATTGATGAACATCGGAGTTTCAGGGACCATTCTCCACCTGGGATGATTAGAGTCTTCAGGACGGTTGCAACCTCATCAAGCAGATACTGTACATAATCCATGCCATTAAATTTGCTTCAAACATCAAAAACTTCCCTGGTTCTCCGAGTCCCGTGATCATGTTTTTGTTAATGTTAAAAAACATGAAGACAGAGTACTGTACCCCTTTCCATCTCATGGTTGATCATCATGTTCCATTTTATTTTCCGTATGATAACTGCATAACTTTTGCAATTAAACTTGCGGTATCCCATGGTATCCCTGTATCCCTATCGTTCACGACCTAAATTTCCCCATTTTTGACCTGGATTTTCCTATGGTAATGGATCCAATACAGAAGCCCGCTTGCCTCAGGGGACCCAGGGGATTCTGACTCCAGCGTGGAGCGCCTGTGGGCTTCGGTGATGGAGGTTTCATGGGTGATGATCCACGGGTTGGTCAAAATGGGTCGCTGGAGGTTGAAAAATCCACCAGAAATATCCAGAAATCTTGGGAAGTCATTGGGAAGTTGCCTGTGGTATCCTGGATGGTTTTGTGGTGGCTACACATGTAAAAAATCATTTTCACATCGGAAACGATGAAAGTATCAACTGATTTTAGCCACACGACTGCTGTGATTTTGCGACGTCACTTTCAGGTTGGCCTTAGTGCTTGAGGCGAAAATGGGAGACGAGTGTGCGTTTCATGCTGCAGGGTTCGTGGTTTGTGGTGCATCCAGCTCCCTTTGCGACACCTCCGAGTACCAGGGGTTTCACTCCTTCCATCTAGTTCCTATCATGGGGTTGTCTCAAAGATTGGAACCAGAAACAAACATGAAATAGATGATCACAATGTCAATTAACGATGATTAGATTATCATTTGGGATAAAAAGTTTGATCATGAATCATAACAGTGATTGAAGAACAATGATTATACAAAAAACAATGATTATCACGTGATGATCACTTGCTTATCACCTGCTTATCACTTAGAATTGGCGTTTCACATCACTTGATCATCACTTTTGCCATCACCCCATATCCATCCTTTAAGGATCCCCCATGCGCTGGGCCCCAAGGTCGACATGGCCGAGACCGTAGCCGCAGTCGGGACCGTGACCGAGATCGTGACCGTGGATCAAGGTGCTGGGAAGTACTGGGAAAATCATCTGGGAAAATCATCTGGGGAAATTATCTTACTGGGGAAATACTCATATTTTATTGGGAGCAAATCAACTTCCTATGATCAAACAACCACAAATATGTGTGTCTGAAAATGGGGAAAAATGGATCCAATTACAGTATGGCAATCTAGTTTGGGGAAAATATCGTGATCGAGTGATTAACCATCAAATTGTGGGGAAAGCCCGATTTTCAGACAAAGCTGGGGAATGCACAAGTCTGGATGATTTGGAAGTACCCCCATGGATTGGACACCTCCTTTTTGAGTATGAAACCGCCCACTTGTTGGTGCCAATCATTTGACATACAAAATACTCGTATCATCCCGTATCATTGGGTGAGGGAAGTTGGTTTCATCATGCAATCATGAAATAGTGGAAAAAAAACACGTTTTTCAAATATTGACCAACATGGCAGGTTGAGTAGCATTCTCTTGTGTTTTTAACTGGAAACATATTGTGTTAATCTTTACTATAGTACAAACAGACTCAGCAAAACACCCTTCTAGATCTTTCAAACGGTTTGGTCAAAGACAACCGTACCTTTTTCAGTCGATGCCCTGAATCCTGAACGATGAGCCACTCCAAAACTAGGGGATGTATCTCGCTACGGCCGCCACGGGTTCTTGAAATATATTTAAATGATTGGACCCTGAGAAAAAATGGACTTATGATGGTTTAGTGAACTAAATGATCTCTAGGTTGTGGCCGTGCCGTGATTCCCCACGTTTTCCACGGCAGGGACGGCGGCAGGGACGGCGGCAGGGATGGCAGGGACGGCCGGGGCGGCAGCTTCGGTGGTAGCTACAGCAGCAGTGATTTGGGTGCCAATCTCCGAAACATCAACTGGCAAGAGGCGCGGATCCTGGATGATCCTGGTCCATGGCTGACATGGCTCAATGGCAGCTTTGGTTGAAAATTGAATGACTGTATTATACTGTATTTAGACAAATTGGAGATATTGGAGTGAATCAATGTTCATAGAAGATCTTTTTGATGGAAATGATGTGAATAATATTAATAATATGTGTATTTCATTGGATCCTGGTGGATTTGCATGAGCCAGCTGATGTTTAACAGATTCTAGATATCACTAGTCGGTTGGAGTGGATCGATACCCTGCTTTTGGTAGAGGAGATATGCTGAAGAATTGAATGGACATGGAACATTCAACATGGACAGTCACAGTGAACAATCGGGTCCCCAAGGCAATTTTACTGCATGTTAAAAAATTGGGGTGTATTCATGGAAACAGGGATGGTGACCTGTGGCCTTTTCGGGCCATAGTTGAGGAGATGAACATCCAGAAGTTTGGCACATCCCTTGACATGCCTCCTCAGGAAAAAAAAACATGCTTTTGCAGCAAGGACAAGATGTATGGGAATATCCTGTATCCATTTGTAGCTGATGTTTTTCCTCAAAAATGGAGAATCAGGGGAACCGTTGAGGACAATCCATGACAATCCAACGTGGCATTGCGGCAGTTCTCCCCCATATCATGACAGAAATCATGACGATTTCAAAATTGTCCATTCACTTTCAGGGTTTCCAAGTGTTATAGATTTCCAGGACAGTATGATTGATAACAATTAATTAAATTCATATATGACAGTATGTTTGGACAGTATGATTGATAAAAATTGTTTTTTCTCCAGGACAGTATGATTGATAACAATTTATATACATTATTGATCATTATTGTATACAATCATGGTGAAATTCATTGACCATGGATAGTAACGGTTACCTGCTGGATGCCCATTCGTATCGTATCCTGCGGAGGTGACTCTGAAGAGATTCGAGAAGGTCAGGGACTGATGTCGATTTATAGAGAGAATGGCCTCGAAAATAAGGTTCAACATGGGGTGTTCACGGTGAAAAAACATGTATTCACCACTATATAACATGGGTAAATTGGTGAATGGTTAGTTCGTGGCTAAACTTTCGCCAGAGCGAAGTATGATATCCCAACACATCCGCTTGAAAGGTATTGTTTGTTGCAGGGGTCTAAGGTTACGCTTAGCATAGGTTAGCCCATGGCAGAGACTCTGACAGTCATCGAAGTGGCGCTTGACAACACAACGCTTGCATGTGTCAGCTATGGTTTGATTATGTTTGATCCACCCGCAATCGATTTAGCGAAAGGATCCTGTATCAAAGGTCCAGCAGTGCAGGATGTTTATTTTCCTTTGGGGAAACTGCAGAACTAATGTGTCCAGGGTCCATGCTTCTTGTATGTTTCTGAACAGAACTACAGAGGCAAACCGGCAAACCAGCATCAAGATAGCGTGGACATTTACTTGTCATGACTTTTCTATCCTTTTGGCAGATGAATTGTGCCATCATAGCAACTGGGGCCAGCAGTAAATTCCTGAGATCTATTGGATGGCCGCAACACACCAGTTGCAAGGCAATGCCCCCTAGTTAGAAGTCGGTTGATAACCCCATCTGAATATCTTACAATCACCATATGTTCAGAAGTGAGTTTACAGCAAGAACAAACTCAATAAACCACCCATATTAACTACATATTGATGGCAAACATATCATCCATTCAATGGACATGTGGAAAACATGGGAATGGTGGATCCGTGGCACCGCCAGGATGGTCATGCTGGGGTGACCCGTGATATTCCCATATGGTGCGCTGTATAATATATACGTCTATATATATATAATATAATATATATATATATATTTGTTGTCCCGTCATCTTGTTTTGTTTTGACCATGAGCCGCGTGAGTTTTTGCCCGTGTCACCAGGACTTCTATCAGGTCCATCCAGCAGTGTCTGGCATGTCGGAAGAGGAGGCTGATGCTTGGTGAAGCTTCGAGATGTGGGAAATCTACCTGAAATGCCACAGAAGAGACCTTCATTGGATTGGTTAAAGGGAAAATCTGTTGGTTAAACCATCGATTTTTCCCATAAAATATGGAGGTTTCCTGCAATTTTCCCCTTAAACCAATCCATTGAGACATCTCAAACTGCCAACCTATACAAAGGTCAGTTCAGGAGGCTGAATCCCAATACAAAGGACCGATATGACAAAGGATATGACAAGTGACAAGACATGAAATCTCAAACTGCCAATCGATGTGAAACTCAACTTAATTTTTCATGACGAGAGGCTAAGCCTTGCTATTTGACCAAAATTCAAGAGGTGGATCAACAAAAATGTAGTCTTTGAAATTGCATGTTGAGTTTCAATGAAAAATGAGTAGTTTGGTGGAAATGTTGGATCATGATTTGATCCATCAAATAATGGACGGATACTTCTATGTGGTATCATATCCCACTAAAACCGTCCATTGTGTTGTAGGGTATCTATGACACACATGACACTCTGGGTGGCCAAAATTGGGCCCACCGATGTGCTAAATCCAAACCCAGTACAGTCGTCGAGTCGATTGATCAAAAAAACCAAGCATGTCTGGCAATTCATGTTGGATCCATTGTAAATAGTTTTTTTCCAGCTTACTGTGAAGAATTTACAGGCTGAATCCCGCGAAACTCCAGCGGGCTCAGCCGAGGACAGAATCCGGGCAGAGAGGAACATTAGCATAGTTGAAGCCTCAGACGTCTCATGATCGGATGAATGGAAGATTTCTGAACCTCCATGAATTTCCTGAAACACTTCCCTAATCTTTTAGAGTTACCTGTGGAATAGACTTGGGTATGATTTTACCAGCCATGCTTTGGGGGTGGATTAGCAATTTCACAGGATTGGTCTTCATGGAAAAATAACATTGATGTTCTTTTCGTCCACGTTCTCGTCATCCTCAAAAAGATTGGAAAAAAGGCGAATTATCACTAATTATCACTCATGATCACTCATTATCACTCATTATCACTCATTATCACTTAGTTTCACTTAGTATCACTTAGTATCACTTAGTATCACTTAGTATCACTTAGTATGACTTAGTATCACTTTGTATGACTTAGTATCACTTAGTATCACTTAGTATCACTTAGTATCACTTAGTAACACTCATTATCACTCATTATCACTCATTATCACTTAGTATCACTCATTATCACTCATTATCACTCATTATCACTCATTATCACTTAGTATCACTTAGTTTCACTTAGTATCACTTAGTATCACTTAGTATGACTTAGTATCACTTAGTATCACTTAGTATCACTTAGTGTCACTTAGTAACACTCATTATCACTCATTATCACTCATTATCACTCATTATCACTTAGTATCACTCATTATCACTCATTATCACTCATTATCACTCATTATCACTTAGTATATTTAGTTTCACTTAGTATCACTTAGTATCACTTAGTATGACTTAGTATCACTTAGTATCACTTAGTATCACTTAGTAACACTCATTATCACTCATTATCACTCATTATCACTCATTATCACTTAGTATCACTCATGATCACTCATGATCACTCATTATCACTCATTATCACTTAGTATCACTTAGTTTCACTTAGTATCACTTAGTATCACTTAGTATCACTTAGTATCACTT